TGCAGGACTGTACATGCTAATTATTTTTATTTAATCACTCTGTATTTATATACATATATTAAAACATATCATGCCTCATAAAAGTATAAAATTATGATTTGCCAATGAAAATAATACAAATTTAAATATTTTAAATATAAAAAGATGAGGTGCTTGGGATTCACTGGAATGAGAGGCAGAGGAGAGGGTCTGGCCTGTCCTTCCCATCTCCAGATGGGGAAGAGGTCAATCTTCATGAGGCTGAGCCCCTGGGTCTCAAAACCCAGGCTTGTCTTTCCAGGAGACACAGACACACAGACTATCCCATTTCTGCCCCTCCCAGCCTCTTCTGCCTGCCTTTATCCCTCCCGCACCTGAGACTGATCACCCCCACCCTTCCCAGTGCGGTTAGGTTGGCACTGTCACTGCCTTGCTCTACCTTGATCAGTGCACCCAGCTCAGTCGCGGTGAGAGTCTCCTGCCCCTTCTCCACATAATAATATCTCCTCAACCAAATGGGAATCAGTTCCCCAGGAGATTATGTACCTGGGATCCAAAGGGCTACCCCACCAGCCAAAAATGGGAACCAGTTCTATGAGACAGTGTGCGCTCCAGTGCTGCCGGCAGAACCAGGCTGAAGGTGATCTCCAGAGGAGACCACGTCCATATCCTTGCTCACTTTTTGTCCTCCATCCCATTCTGCTTTTCTCACTCCTCTTCTGCTTGGAGTACTTCTCCAATAAATCACCGGAACAAGAAACTTTGTGCTAGGCTGTGTTCTAGAAACCTCACCTAAGAAAGCCTTGAGTCACTCATAACCAGTATCACCTCTATTTTTAGACAGGGTCTTGCCAAGTTGCTCAGGACCTTGCTGAGTTGCTGGAGCTGGCTTTGAACTTGTGATTCTCCTGCCTCAGCCTCCAGAACCATTAGGATTACAGCATGAGCCTGTATTTTTTTTTTTTTTTATGAAAAGAGACTTGTTCTTTCACTCAAAGTTACATTACTAAGATTTATCCATGTTATGGCATGTAAAGAGTATAATTCTATTTTTTTACAGGCATGAATTTATTAGAAAGAATAGGAAAGGGGAAAAGGGGACACTCTCAAGGGAGAGAGTGGGTCCTCTGAGAGGAGAAGGAACAAGAGTGTCAGTCTTTTTGGCTGCCCTGTGGTGTTCTATTCCACAGTCTATTCAAGAGGTGTGGTCAATGGACATTGGAATTGTTCCTTCTCTTCCTCTTACAAGTAGCCTGTCTGGCAGCATTCTTTTCATGAGTTTTCTGATGTGCCTGTGCAAGAATTTCTCTTGGGTATAAGAGGATTTCTTATAAGAATTTCTAAGAGTCAAATTTATGGGTATGCAATTGTTCAGTAGTACAAGATCAATGCCAAATTGTTTTTCCAAAGTGGTGATTCAATTTACATACCCGCCATTAATGAATAAGAGATCTCACTGTCCAAGATTCTGCTCAAAGAATATTGTCTTATTTTTTTGCCAATAAATGGGTGTAAGTGGTACATCATTCTGGTCTTGCATTTCTTTGATTACTAATAAAACTGAGCACTTTTCATCAGTTTATTGGCCATAATGTTTCTTTTCTGAGAGCCTTTTGCCAATTTTTCTACTGAATGACTTCCTTTTTCTCACTATTTATAGGTATTACTTATATATGCTGATTATTAATTCCTTGTTGGCTATATGTGTTATAAATCTCTTTGTGGCTTGTATTTTTATTTTTTCTAAAGTGTAATTAATAAACAGAACCAACATAGCTATTAAAGATTATTTTTATTAATTTTATGAATACTATTATACCAAACAATTCTATCAAGATTGGAATGTAGGGGCTGGGGACGTGGCTCAAGCGCTAGCGCGCTCGCCTGGCATGCACACCGCCCCGGGTTCAATCCTCAGCACCACATACAAACAAAGATGTTGTGTCCGCCGAGAACTGAAAAATAAATATTAAAAAATTAAAAAAAAAAAGATTGTAATGTAATGTAATATTATCACTAGTATTCTCATTTTCACTATTCAAATATTTATAAACTTCTTTTTTTTTCTAAGAGAGAGAGAGAGAGAATTTTTTTTTAATATTTATTTTTTTTAGTTTTCGGCGGACACAACATCTTTGTTTTGTATGTGGTGCTGAGGATCGAACCCAGGCCGCATGCCTGCCAGCTGAGTGAGCTACCGCTTCAGCCACATCCCCAGCCTTAAACACTTCTGAACTTCAAAAACAATATGAAGTTCCTCTTAAAGATACATAGTTAACACACTTTCTTTTTAAAATCACATTAACTGCCAGGTTCAGTGGTCCATACTTGTAATCTTAGCAATTTGGAAGGCTGAGGCAAGAGAATCAAAAGTTCAGGGTCATCTTTGGCAATTTAGTGAGACCCGGGTCTCAAAAGAAAATAAAAAACTCAGAGGTAAAGCACCACTAGGTTCCATCCTTAGTACCACAATAAAATAAAAAAAACAAAATAGCTTCAACTAAGACAGCTACTCAGGAGACTAGGCAGGAAGATTGCAAATTCAAGGCCAACCTGAACAACCCTGTCTCAAAATAAAATTCAAAGTGTTGGGGATGTAGCTCAATGGTAGAGCACTTGCCTGGTATGTGTGAGGTTCTGGGTTCCGTCTTCAGCATTGTTATAGTTTTCAATTTATTCCCGTATTTTACTATTTGAAATTTCTTGGTTACATTTTTTTTGCAATTAGCAGCTTTCATATTCTGATAGCATTTTACTCATGATACACATACAAGGAGACTGATTTTATATGTCATAAATGATACTAAAGTAGATATTTGGCTATTCAGCCTTCTAAGGAGGCTATTCAGCCTTCTAAGGACTAGGGTCAAAGTTACAGTTGAATAGCAGATGTGAACCAAATACCAAATCTGCAAGTAAACTTCAGTACATCCCTAATGTGAATATATTTCATATTGTAAATCATAAAAGAATCTTTACATAGCTCTCTCCATATATTCTCATGGAAAGTATCTAGAATGGACATGAAATATCTAGGAGAAGGTAGTTTTGGCATTTGGGGCAATAAAATAAAAAAAAATTTAGACTGTGTGTTGAACCTGGAGTGCTTTACTCTGAGCTATATTCCCCGGCCCTCTTTACTTTTTATTTTTATTTATTTATTTATTTTATTTCTTACATACATGACAATAGTGGAATGCATTACAATCATAATTATCCATTCTCAACACCATTTTTCATAACTTTTACTTTTTATTTTAATACAGGGTTTTGCTAAGTTATGAGAAAGTCTTGCTTAGTTGTTGAGGCTGGCCTTGAACTTGGGATCTTCCTGCTTCAGCCTTCTGAGTCACTGAGATTACAGGTGTGTACCACCATGCCCAGCACCTTCCTTGTTTTTTCAGCTAACTTTTCTTATTAATTTTGTCATTTGGCTCGAGTACCTCCCCTCGTAGTTATTTTAGGGAGGATACAGGAGCAGTTGCGCTAGATATTCTCCATCTGCCCAGTTGGTCATTTTCCATCTTTTCCCCTCCTGCCCTGCATGCACATCTGCGCATGCACATCTGTGCACGCACAAAAAGCACACACGCACCTGTGTTGACCGTAATGAATCACATCAATTGTTCCTGCTTCCTAAAGCATCCAGTTCAGAATTGGCTTCTCCTTCCCTAATCTCAGAATCATCCAACACAAACACAGTCCCCTTCACTAAAAAGTTCCCAAGATTCCTCTGAGGTGCCTTCTCCCTTCTGCAGCAAGACAGATAAACCTAATTTTTATTAACTACAGGTGTGTTCCTGGTGGTCTTCTGCTGATAGATGTTGACATTCTATGCAAATTCATTATTCCTGAATGAATGGCTGAAGAAAAGAAAATTGCAAATAAAAAGCAGAGTATTATTAAGCTCAAGCTGTAACTAAACCCACAAGCCAAGAATCCAGACACATCCAAATGATGGTTTCTAAAAAAACAAACAAAAACACCATCAGGTGGCAGCTGCCCAAATCTTATGATTAATTATTTCTGGAACAGCCTAAATGAAAGAGTCCTCCCAAATATTACAGAACAATTTGTTTTCTTTTTCTTTCTTGCAACATGCCTATGAAAAATGATATTTTCATGCTAACACTGCAATGTCAACTAAATATAGAATAAAGAAAGTCTGTACCTGACATAAAGATCTGACTCAACAATATCACCCTTAATAATTGGCAGCTATATGATTTTCTCATTTTATTGGAGTATAATTTAGATACAGTAAAATGTACAGATCAATTTTAAATACATTCACCCGCCATGTACTCACCTCCAGATCAAGAGTGGAACAATGCCCTCCAGCAGGCTCTTTCCTGTGCCCTGCAAGTTAGCACCACTCCATGGGTAACCCTACCTGGGCTCTACCATTACAGATTAGTTATGCCAGGTTTCAAGCTTTCTATAATTACAAAATGTGTGTATTCTTTTGTTGTTGCTTTGTGGTACTGAAGATGGAACCAGGGTCTCATGCAACCCATGTTGTTTATCATCAGCATTTTGTTCTTTTTATTGCCGTATATAATATGAATTAATCACACTGTTTTTACCATTCTGCTGTCGATAAATATTTGTGTTGGGGCTGGGGATGTGGCTCAAGCGGTATCGCGCTCACCTGGCATGCGTGCAGCCCGGGTTCGATCCTCAACACCACGTACAAACAAAAAATATTGTGTCCGCCAATAACTAAAAAATAAACATTAAAAAATTCTCTCTCTCTCTCTCTCTCTCTCTCTCTCTCTCTCCTCTTCTCTCTCCTTAAAAAAAAATATCTGTGTTGTTTCCAGTGTGGGAAACAGGAATAAAGCTATTATGGATATTCTGCCTGCCTTCGAGTGGACAGAAACTTTCATTCTTTTTGACTATCTAACCAGGAGTATAATTGTTGATCATAGAATATATGTGTGTTTTGCTTTAGTAAATAACTGTAGAAGTTTTCCAGAGTGGTTGTCCCAATTTGTATTCTCAACAGCAATGTAAGAGAGTTTGCATTGAGACATGTGATTTTTATTGTTTTGTTCTTATTTTTTTCACATAGAAGTTTTCACATACTGACTCGACCTACCAGTGTAGAGAATGCAGAGAGAAAAATCATATTCCCAATAAAATACGTATCCAGTCGTCCAGACAGTGAGGACACTTTCCAGTTGATATAATAAGTTGGCAGTGATCTTGGTACAGCGTAAATCTGTGTGGCATCTCACGTACTGTTCCTTAGAACCAGCTTGGTTCTTCTCTGTGTCTCCTCTTACAGTTGTACCCTGACTTCATTCCCAGATTTCATCTGAAGTCATTGAGAATGGGATGTTTTTGCTTTTGTTTCTTGGTCAGGAATCACCTGATCCTCAAAGTCCTGTGGAAAGACATGGCAAGGAATGGGATCAAGTTCACATACTACAGTGGTGGAGAAAAGGGGAGATACACATGATTTTTGTGTGTGTGCGTGCGCAGGGTGAGGAGGGGTGGTGGAGATTGAACCCAGGAGTACTTTACCACTGAGCTATATCCCCTGTTTATTTTTATTTTTTTATTTTGAGACAGCGTCTCACTAAGTTGCTTAGGACTTCACTAAGTTGCTGAGGTGAGCCTCAAACTTGGGATCCTCCTGCCTCCGCTTCTTGAATTGTTGGGATCACAGGCACGAGCCACTGCACCTGGCTTACACTTGATTTTTAAAGAACTGAAAGAATGGCTGGGCACGGTGGCACACATCTGTAATCCCAGTGGCTGGGGGGGGGGCTGAGACAGGAGAATTGTGAGTTTAAAGTCAGCCTCAGCAACTCAGTGAGACCCTATCTCTAAATAAAATACAAAATAGGGCTGGGGTATGTGGCTCAGTGAGCAAGTGCCCTTGAGTTCAATCCCTAGTATCAAAAAAAAAAAAAAAAAAAGAGAACTGAAAGAATAATGTTCTCATTTTTAAATTTGGCAGGGGAGGCTTTTGAATATTAGATATAGGCATAATTTAAAATAAGAGAGGTCTGACTACTTGTATAGTTGAGCTTAAAAAAATAAAAAATGATTTATCTAAATTCTGTTTTATATTATATGAGTTTAAAATACATTTGATTATTTCTCCAGCAGGCGTGTTGGAAAGAATGTTCTTATGACAAGGGGTGTTGGCAGTGGTGTGATGGGAATTATTTAACATTCAGCTCTCTAAGAAAGAAAGAAAAACTCTAATTTGTAGCCGTTGCCGATTTCTGTTGTGTAAATACTTTACCACTGCTGAACTGCCACACATGGATGGTGGTGCACCTCTGTAATCCCAGCTACTCTGGAGGCTGAGGCAGGAGGATCATAAGGATCAAAGCCAGCTATAGCAACTTAGTATGGCCCTGAGCAAATTAGTGAGTACCTGTCTCAAAATTTAAAAATAAATAAATAAAAAGGGCTGGGGATGTGGCTCAGTGGTTAAGCAATCCCCAGTACAAAAAAAAAGAAAAAAAAAAAAAGTCAGGCTAGGGCTGGGGATGTGGCTCAAGGGTTAGCGCACTGGCCTGGCATGTGCGAGGCACTGGGTTCGATCCTCAGCACCACATAAAAATAAATAAAGATATTGTGTCTATCTAAAACAAGAGAAGTCAGGACAGTGGTTATCTTAAGGAGGTCTTAGAGGGTAGCAGTGGGGAGGGGCACGGGGAGGCCTCTTTCCCACTGCTGTCATGATCTGAAGGATATGTCCAAATGTCTATATGAAGGCTCCTGTCCCCAACGTGATGTACTAGGAGGTGGAGCCACGGGGAGGTAGTTGGGTTTAGAGGGGTCCTGAGAGTAAAGCCCTCAAGATGGCATTGCTGCCCTCAGAGGGTGAGAGTGCTCACTCGCTCTCCCAGCCATTTGAAGACACCATGAGAAGCTGGCCCTCTGCAAGCCAAGAAGAGAGCCCTCGGCAGAACACCCCTCTCTTTATCTTTAGATTTATCTTAGATTTCCCAGCCTCCAGAAATGTGAGAAGTAAATGTCTGTTGTTTAAGCCACCCCGTCTAAAGTATTTTGTCATAGCAGCTCCAGGAGACTAAGACACTAGTGTCTACACAAGTTGTATCGATGCAGGAGACGATTAATGCATTTTCTGCATGAATTATTATTTTTTCAATAAAGTTTACTAAACGAATGTATTTGTGTATTATTTGCACACAAAATAAAAGACCTTATCATCAGCATGAATAAACTTTTCAACATGTCTAATCTGTAGATGAATTTTACTGTGATTCAAAAAATTAAACACATTACATCTTGGTCAATCTACCATACAGAAAATCCTGCCAGGAAAAAAAAATTAGGTTAATAATAAAGTAATTTCATTTGTGTACTTGAAGAAGCCAGCTAAGCCAAAGGGGATATTTTCTAAAACTCAAAGACTATGTTCAAATCATCTTTAAATCTAATCATATCAAAGAAAGCCTCAGGCTCCAAACACACCATTTTAAGACAAAAAAAATTCACTTTTAAAAAGAAACCTTTAACTCACCTGTTCTTCCTTCCCCTAATTCCCCTTATTTTCCTCCACTCTGAGAAAAACATCCTTTTATCATACGGAGAGTGCCATAGCTCCTGGATCACTCTATTTCGGGTGAGTCATGGGACTAGAGTATTTCTCAGCTTAATTGGACACTGGAATTCCCTCTTGTGCTTTTGATTCTGTTTGGAAGTCACTGGCCGTGCCTCCTTTTCTTACTTAAGTCACATCACTGAATCTACTTCAAGCAGGGGAAATTCCTATCTCTAAGGCTTTTGGTTTTCACACATTTTAGTATTTCTGGACTACTTCCATCAGCTACCTCTCTATTTTTCCTCTACAACTATTTCCCTGATTTCTATATGGACAAGTGAGAAGCCACACAGCCCCCAACACATACATAGCATACATGCATGCGTGCGCATGCACACACACACACAATGTATTCTTCTGGGCATTCTTTCAGAACATTCTAGATGCCAAATCTCTAGTAAATCATCTTCCCTTTGAATAGGTTCAACCTACTTTAACCCCACTTCCAAAAACTGATACTGTATAAATTCCCAAAATGTCCATGAGAGGGCACCATAATCCCACTTCTAGCAAATTGGTTGCAGATTGGCTTCTGTGATTTCCAGTGGAATCTTCCTCTTCCTACCCACATTTCTGATTATGCCTTAAACCAGCCACCTAAGAAGGAAATAAGGTGCCATGAGTAAGAAATTAAGTATTACCCTATCCATTCCCTCTATCCTCCTGCCCCTGGAGGAGAACAGGGCAGGAAACTCTCACGATCCAGGCATTCTTTCTCTCAAGATGGATGGGACCCTTGGCCAATGTGTTATTGGTAAAGTTGATTTGACCACGCTGAATCCCTAGCGATGCTCCAGGGAAAGTCAAAGGTTTGATTTGGGTCTTGGGTCATCATCCAAACCTTAAAGATTTGTCAACCATGACAGCCCTATCTCATGACCAGCCTGGGTCCTGACTTAGGTCTCCTGATACCACCGCCTCTCTCCTTCCCTCCACCCACCTCCTCCCGCCCGAGCCCAACCACCCTCCCCCGCCGCTGGGCCAACTCATATTGTTCTAGCTCCACAAGGTTGTTTTATCAAAAGTCACCACTAATCTTTCATTAGCCCACTCAGGGGAATGGAATGGTGGCTTAATGCTATTAGCACAACTGCTTTATCTTAGAAAAACAAAATGAGCAATCCTTTCTAATGAAAACATTGCTATGATTGAGCTTTGCTAACTAATACATTAGTTCCTGCAACACATTTTAAAATCAAAACTGGCATAATATCTAAGCATGAATATATTTAAGTAGGCAGCTGTGGCCCAGTATTGAGAAAGCATACTTCTAAGCTAGGCTATCTCAGATCAAAACCTGGGTTTGCTATTTACCATCCATGTGTACTTAGGCAAGTTACTTAACCTCTGCATACAGATTTCCTTAGATGTTTAAAAAATAGGAAAGCAGGGCTGCGGTTGTGGCTCAGTGGTAGAGCACTTGCCTATCATGTGTGAGGCACTGGGTTCAATTCTCAGCAGTGCATATAAATAAATAAAATAAAGGTTAAAAAAAAAACTAGGGAAGCAGTAGTTTATGTTGAGTATCCTTTATCCAAAAAGCTTTGGATGACAGAGTTGGGGATTTGAGATTTTTTTTTTTTTAGATTTTGAAATATTTGTATATACATAATGAGATATACTGGGCCTGTGCCTAATTCTAAACACAAAATTCATTCATGTTTCATATGTAAGTTATACACACAACCTGAAGTTTAAATTTATACAATACTTTAGTGTGCCTGCATTTGACTGTTATGTGAAGCCAAGTGTGAAATTTACCAATCGTGGCACCATGTTAGCACTCAAGTAATTTCAGATTTGGGAACTTTTTGAATTAGGGATGTGCAACCTGTATCTACTTCATGGGATTACTGTGAAGTTTGGACGAGTATATATAGTTAACACGTAAAGTATAGATGGGTACAATGGCAGTCCCAGCTACTCAGGAGGCTGAGGCAGGAGGACACTTGAGCCCCAGAGCTTGAGGCCAACCTAGGGAACATACCAAGTCCCCATCGCAAAAAAAAAAAAAAAAAAAAAAAAAGTGCTTAGAGCTGGTGTGGTACTAGTAAGTACCTAATAAATGTTGCTATTAGTGTTATTATTATGTTATGTTCCAACAAATTTTGTGGAGAATTCCCCACACATGGGCTGACACTTGTCTTCTTTTTCTTATATTCCAAGAATATCCTAAATAGAATATTAAGAAATTGTGTACATACACAAGACTGGAGACAAAGGATTATGTAAGAAGCATCTGGAGAACACAAATCTGTGCCACATTAGTTTGTGATGACGTTGAGTTAGGAGCAACTTGGTACTGGGCGACTGTGTGGTGAGTGAGTTTCTGGAGAAACTTGGGAGCTGCTGTGGGAGACACAGTCTGGATGGAAATGGGCTCAAGGTGAGTTAAACTGGGGCAAAAACAGCTTGGAATAACTAAAGGTGAGCTAAGAAGAGTGTGAGTAATTTAGGGTTTTGGATAAAACCAAATTTGTGTGACAGTGGTGTCAGGCAGTGGTATGCTGGAAACTGCTTAACTATTGTCTCTCCAAGAAAAAAAGAAAAGGAAGGAAAAAACAAAACCCTGATGTGGAGTATTCCCAAATTCTGTGGTATGATTTCAAGGCTACCAATGTGTTAGCACAAGGGGTCATTTAGGAAGTTTGGAGAAAAGGGGAAGAGAGTCGCGGACTGTGCTTTGAACACACCAACATTCCAGGCTTGGAGTTGCTGCCAGAGGGGAAGGAGGAAAACCAAACAACAGTGTGTCAAAAAGGCTAGATCAGAGACTTAGAGAAGGAGGGGGTGGACCACGGGAACTTCGGTCCACAGATTAGCTCCCAAAGCCACCATGCAACATGCCACCACCCATAATTCTATTCCATCAGACGCTGTGTCAACCCTGGTTTCCCCACAGTCGCCATTTATCATCTTTCCTTGCTTCGCTGCCTTTCTTCATTGGGGTGACCACATCCTCCTCCTCCAATCTTGAGTGGTTCTGATGGAAACCTCGGAACCCCTGAGAAACTATGGACCGTCACATGACCCACGCTCAGCCAATCAGAACAGATCTTCAGCACCAGACATGTACCGAAGGCGGGAAGAGTTACCTCTTTCCCTCAGGAAAATAGTGGAAACCAGCAAAATGTAAGACTGCTTTGGCAATGGAGGAGTCCTATCTTAAGTATCGTAGAAGCTGAAATGAGAACGAGAGAATGTTCGAATCCCTGCATCTAAATCTACTCTTCTTCTCTCCAGATATCTGTCACTAAACAGCATGGTCCATGTTCTATGCATATTTTAAACACTTTACAAGCATTGGTTTAGTAATTCTAGTAACCTTGGATGGGCACTGCACGAGACTCCCTGTTAGAGATGAAGAAATCTGCCCATAGCCACAGCGTGCAAAAACTGGGGTTTCGCCCTATTTAGGGTGGATAATTCTTTGATGTCTGTCCTGTGTCTTGTAGGGTGTTGAGCTGCATCCCTGCCTCTACCCCGTAGGTGCTAGTAACAAGTCTTCCTTCAGGTGCTATAACCCAAATTAACTCCAGATATAACCAGATGGGTGGGGGTGGGGGTGGGGGGTTCAAAACTGCTCCAGTTGAAAACTCCTGCTGCCATTCTGCTGCCTTCTAAATTCTCTTTGGGTTGTTATCATTGAGTCATTTAGATAATCCTGTATTAGTCCAACTCAGGGTCACCCAGTATGTGGGTCAAATACAAATAACCCAATGTTCCTCAAACCCTGGCTCAGCCACAACACAGTGCCACCTAGATCCTATGTTGTCTAAAACCCACCATCACCTACAAATCTGTGTCCCCATGACTTTCCATCCCACTACAATCCTGTCATTGAGATTTGTGTAACCGATTCTGATCCAGTGGTATCAGTGTTGTCTGTCCCTAGCAACAGCTTCCCAGAGTCAGGGTCACAAAGCTGTTGGTAGAGACAGAAAAAGCAGAAAGAAGTACAGATGCACATACTTGACGGTGGGAAAGGCAGGATACCCACAAAAGTAAGACTCAGAGGAGAGACAGAGACCCATCTCCCCACAGCCACGACTGGTTATACTAAATGGGTCACTGGTGACCCACCAAGGCCCCTAAGCTATGCCAAGTAACTTCAGACCTCCCTCCCCCTACCTCTGGATTAGACCTGGGAGGAGAGAAGCTAGATTCTGAGAGTAAGGAGCTTAGGTACAATGTGACAGCTAATCACTCACATAAGGCCTTGGTCTGGGTCACCAGTCCCTGAGCACCCCCATCTTCACCCACACCACTCATTCCTCTGTTCCTTCCACAGGGTGCTCCATGGACAAGATCCCAACCCTAGAACATTACCAGGCCCGCAGTCTAGGCGGGCAGAGGAATAAGTCCAAAGCCTCCCAGACTTCCCTCTAGCTCACGTGCCAGAATGTCAGGAGGAGGCGACAAACACCCACCAGCGTCTAGTGTATTGGTGGGAGTTAGGAGAGCTTGGATGGGCACTACCCGGGACTCCCTGTTAGAGATGAAGAAATTTGCCCATAGCCACAACATGCAAAAACTGGGGTTTCACCCTATTTAGGGTGGATAATTCTTTGATGTCTGTCCCACTTGATTATTCCAGGAAAGATTTGCCTGAGATCAGAGAAAGATTGTCCCTGAGTAAAGAGACATGGTGCAAGCAACTGTCCCTCCTCATTTGGACTCTCCAGTCTAAAAGAGGCCCCTGAGGGTTACCAAGATTAGGCCATATTTGGGGGGCAATAAAAGACTGTAAGGAGACCCACTTACCAGCTCCAGCTGGCCTGGCATGGTTGCCATGGGGATGCCCCAGTTGCTCCAGAGGCGTCTGCTGGTCCTCCAAGCGGGAGAGGCCGAGGCAGTCGTTCTTCACACCGAGGCGGGTTGGGGTTAGAGGTCAGTACTGGATGGGAACATTCCTGCCTGGGAACATGGCTGGGAGCTGAGATCCTGGGGTTCTTTACCACCCTGCCTCCACCACTCCTTTGCCCTCCAGCCTCCACTCCTGTGCTGCTGCCTAGGAGGGGCTGGTCTCAGAGACCAGTTCTGGTGTGAGGGCTGGCCGGTGGGCTCAGGTAGGATGAGCATGTGCCCCCCAGCGAAGGCTCAGGGAGGTTCCAGTGGAGAGGGTGGGCTCCAAGGCTAGGTGTAAGGCTCTGGGGGAGGGGAATCGGGCACAGCATCAGTGTGAGATGTCAGGTCTGTTTCTTCTAAACGTAGTAGGTGGCTTCAGTGGGACTCAGGAGAAATGACCAGAATGTGAAGGCTCTAGAGGGGATTCAGCTGAAAAGGTCCAGATAGGGGACAGGTAAAGGCTGGTATCTACCTTCAGTGGTGATTTGTTAACTAAAAGAATAATTGCTCAAGTATGAAACTTCAGGTGAATAACTTTTCTCATTTGGTGGTATTAGGGATTGATCCTAGGAGCACTGTACTGCTGAGCTACATCCCCAGCCCTTTTTTCTTTTTATTTGTTTATTTATTTATTTTTTTGCAGCAGTCTCATTGAGTTGTCCAGGCTGGCCTAAAAGAATAACATTTATTTATTTATTTAGGTCCAGGGAGATTGAACTCAGGAGTGTTTTATTACTGAGCTACATCCCCAGTCCTTTTTATTTTTTGAGACAGGGTCTCAGCTGCTGAGAGTCTCGCTAAATTGCTGAGCCTGGCCTCGAACTTGCAACCCTCCTGCCTCAACCTCCCAAGTCACTGGGATTACCGTCCTGAGCCACTGCACCTGGCAAAATTACTTTTTTTATGTATAAATTTAACCAGATGTAAAGGCACCTTTAATTTTTACTTATAAAGAGGACTTAAAGCCAATTCCATTCCTACAGGTTTCTCCTCATCACTCTGAGATTGAGTTTTATTATCTATAAAATGTAAATAATAATAGTATCTAGCTTATAGAGTCATTGTTAGGATTAAGTGAGAACATAAAAGTACAGGTGATGTGCACCTGTAATCCTAGTGACTTTGGGGGCTGAAACAGGAGAATCTCAAGTTCAAGGTCAGCCTCAGCAATTTTGTGAGACCCTGTCTCAAATTTTTTTTATAAGATTAGCTTTTTTAAATTTTTTTTTTAAGAGAGAGAGAATTTTAATTTTTTTTTTTTTTTTTTTTTTTTTTAGTTTTTGGTGAACACAACATCTTTGTATGTGGTGCTGAGGATCCAACCTGGGCCACATGCATGCCAGGCGAGAGTGCTACCGCTTGAGCCACATCCCCAGCACCCCCCTGTCTCAAATTTTAAAAAATAAAAACAGCTGGGGATGTAGTTTAGTGATACAGTGCCCCAGGTTCATTGTCCATCTTTTTTTTAAAAAAAAAAAAAGAAAAAAGAGAGAGAGAGAATTTTTTAATATTTATTTTTTAGTTTTCGGTGGACACAACATCTCTTGTTGGTATGTGGTACTGAGGATCGAACCTGGGCCGCACGCATGCCAGGCCAGCGCGCTACCGCTTGAGCCACATCCCCAGCCCCTCAATGTCCATCTTTAAAAAAATAAATAACATCCATAGCTCTCTACATTGTAATAGAATCATTAAAACAAACATTCTTTAATATTATCAGTCTGAGGCAAAACAGAAAATAAAATTGGTGATTTTTAAAAAATAAATCTCTAACTCAGTGGTTTTCAAACTTTGTGGTCTTGGGACTTTATGCTTTTAAAGGTAATTAAGGACCCAAAGAGTTCTACTCAAGTGGGTTTTATCTATTAACATTCAATGTATTCAAAGTTAAGATAAAACATTAAACATGTATTAATTCATAACAACAATAATGAATTTATGATATGTTAACCAAAAATATACATATATCTTTGAAAAATATCTATTTTTCCTTTTCCTTCTCCTTCTTTTTCCTTTTTTTGCAGTGCTAGATTGATCTGTGAGCTTTGCACATGAATTTTCTAAAACTAAAATTTTAGTGAAAACAATGATATCATCTTACACTTTTGCAAATTTCCGTAATGTCTGGCTTGATGGAAGATGGCTAGATTCTCATAGCTGCTCCTACATTCAGACTATTGCAGTATATTGTTTTGGGTGAAGTACATAAGGAAAACTCAACTTCATAGTGTACACAGATGGAAAGAGTATTTAGTACTAGGAATTGAATCTAGGGGCGCTCTGTCTCTGAGATATACCTCCTGCCCTTTTTATTGTTTATTTTGAGGCAGGGCCTTGCTAAGTTGCCAAGGCTGACCTCAAATTTACAATGTTCCTGCCTTAGTCTCCCAAGTAGCTGGGTTTACAGGCGGCATCACCACACCTGGCTAGACCAGTGGATTTTTTTTTTTTTTTTTTTAGTGATGAGGATTGAACCCATGTTTGCCTCAACTTCATAGTGTATACAGATGGAAGGAGTATTTAATAGCCTTTTCAGTTAATTGGGCTATTCTTGGCTATTACAGGTAGGTTTTTTCCCCCCTTTCTTTGTTTTTTGTGGGGGGAGGCACTAAAGATTGAACCCAGAGGAGCTTTACACCTGAGCTACATCCTCAGCTCTTTTTTTTTTTTTTTTTTTTTTGAGACATAGTCTCGCTAAGTTGATAAGGCTGGCCTCAAACTTGCCATCCTCCTTCCTCAGCCTTCCAAGTAGCTGGGATTATAGGTGTGAGCCACCAAGCCCAGCCAATTTGAACCTTTCATATTCTATTACATCAAAGCCCATTGGTCTAGGGTTGGGATATGCCTCAGTAGTAGACTGCTTTCCTCACATGCCTGAGGCCATGTGTTCAATCCTCAGCAGTGAAAAAAAGAAAAAAAAAATCCACTGGTCTAGCCAGGTGTGGTGATGCACGCCTGTAATCCCAGCTACTTGGGAGACTAAGGCAGGAGCATTGCAAATTTGAGGTCAGCCTTGGCAACTTAGCAAGACCCTGCCTCAAAAATAAACAATAAAAAGGGCTGGAGGTATATCTCAGAGAAAGTATTAGGAATTGAACCCAGGGGCGCTCTATCTCTGAGATAGAACCCCTGGGTTCAATTCCTAATACTAACAACAACAAAAGAAAGAATCTAGTGCAATGGGGGTGGACCTTGATCCCTGATTAGGGGCCAGAAGTTTTACTCATTGTGGCTTTTGCATCACAAGTGCAAATATCAGCAAAGAGAAAATAGCAAATATCAGTTTAGTATTGTTAGGAAAATAGTTTTTGCCTTGTAAAGGTCTTAGTGACTCCCTGGGATCTATGAACAATGTCTTGAGAACTGATGTTCAAATTAAGGAATTGGAATAGCTGTATTTACTTTTCTTTTTAAATGACACTTCTTTCTTTAGCTATCACTCAAAGGCATGTGAAATGCTTTCACAAATATCTCATGGAAAAAAATGAAGACTAGCTCCATCTGTGGTACTATTTGCTTTACTTCCTCAAAAAATAAATGGGAGGAGGGGGGAATGAGAACTTGGATAGGCCCATGGGAGTGTGTCAGGCATGTGAAGCCATCCATCATGTGTGTCATGGTGAGCAATGCAGTCCTGGGACTAAAAAGGCAAGTGGCGCTGGGAACTCGGGGCCCTCCGTCACCCTCCCCCCGCCACCAGTCCCTCCAGCTACAGAACCTCCACAGCTCAGCCACACTGTCACACACAGACCAGATGCACACTGCCATGGCTAACCTCACACACTTGGTAAAGAGCCCAAGTGTAGTCACATTTACCAGTCCAATCATACAGCCACCTCAAAGCCACACACACACAAAACTCAACTGCTAATACCCAATCTTATTGTACCCTAAACCGATTCTATTTTATAGTGACAGCTGGAGAAGCTCAATAACTGTATATTCATTCCTGGTGACACTCAAACTATCAGGATGGCCCATTTGTATTTAAAGCACCTCCAGAGTCAAGCGCCATTGTTTAAATACACCCCAAAGCAGCCTGTATACTGAGGGAAGAGTGAGAATATCGGTTATGGAAAGACATGGCAATCTGGGTTCCAGTTCTACCATTAGTTAGTTGGTGATTATTTCACCTGTCTAACCTTAGTTCTAGAAAATGAAGATAATTCCTACCTTGTAAACTTTTTGTAAGGATGACAGAAAATAACCAGACCAGTGACAGCATCTCTGTCTGACCTAGTATGCCCTAGGGGAATCCAGCTGTAACTGCCATGTATGACTTTTGTCACCAGAGGGCACCAAGGCTCCAAGGTGTCTGTGGGGTTGCTGTAAGAAAACACTAGAAAGGCCAAGATTCCTAGGGAGTTTGGGGGTGAGTACAGACTAAATTGAAGTGGGCATGTCTCTGGGGCTGAGACACCTGTGAAATGCCAGCTAGGCCCCAGGCCACCCCAGTGGACTGCTGCTGGGCATGGTGGGCATGGCCTGGGAAGATCCTAATCGGGGAAGGATGAGTTCTTCTCATACACCAAGCCCCCTTCTGTGGCTATTTCACACATATTAAATCCTTTAATCCTCACACAATCCCAGGGTTGATAGTCACTACCAATAGTCAATACTCCTGGTGGGGAAAGTTGAGGAGATCAGGACTCAGTTTCACGGGTGTCCAACAGAAGATCCAGGGAGCAGGCAGCCTGGCTAAAGAGTCTGTGCCCCAAAAGAATGGCAACCCACATGTTCTCCCAGTGCCCCCTGCCTCCTCTTCCTGGGGTTCTGCCAGCACTCCCCAACCCTGCTGTCTTCCCTGGAGCTCAGCCAGCTCCAGCTGGCCCTTTCCCCTCTTCCAGCCTGCTCCCCACCTGTCCCTGGACCAGCCCATGGTAGGAGGCTTACCGGAAGTCTGTGGGGAACTGATAAAGCAGGACCCACCCAGGGGTTTATCCAGCCAGACCATCCCAGCTGCTGGGAGCTGTGGGGAGCTGCCCTTCCCACCTACACAGAAGGTCGCTTCCCCACCCTGGTGTTGCTCCTTGGGGTGTCATAACTCTTTATGATGTCATCATTTGTAGTGACATCATTTTTTGGTCCCCCTGTTCAAGTTCCAGAAAGTTACTCAGACAGAAGTTGGAAAAGTAGAGTCAGAAAGGAGCCCTACCCAGGCTCCAGGTCAGTGGCTGGACTGAGAGGAGGGGGTGGTGTCATGGGATCCTCCCCAGGGCAAATGGCTATTTTTGGTGTTAGCTGCTCCACTAATAGCCACCCCTCTTCCTGTCTTTCCAATCCAAAGAGGCTCTGGGTCCAGAGGGGGCAGGGATAATAAGAGAAATCACTACAGTGCAGGGTGGCTCTGGGGTCAGCCTCAGGGCTGGAAGCAGCCCTGTCTTTCCCACAAGGAGACCAGATACTCAATACCTGAGTGTCTGAGGCAAAGGAAGGCCTTGTATCCCATCTCTTGGAATAGCAGTGAAGAGGGAGGGATTGTTAGGATGGCCAGACCACTGGGCAGCCAGACTGGCTCTGACGGTCACATGCATCAACCTGCTGACTCTAAGCTCACGGTCTCACACCACACCGCCACATACCAACAGCCGTGCCCTTGGCCACACGTGAGCCACAGGCAGCCACGTGCCAAGCCGCACTAACACTCCGATAGAGACACACCGTTAACCAGCCATATGTGAGAGCAAGAGTCCCTTTTCTCCCATGGCTGTATTCCTGGAGAATTCCCAGCACATGGTAGATGTGCACAAGTATTTGACAAGTGGACACTGAATTACATTGATCCCTGTGACCAGGCGGGGCGGGAGGACAAGCCATCCTTCCTGCAATCTCTCTTGACCTCTTCAGACCCAGGATGGGAGCAATCAGAGAAGCAATGCTGCTTCTAGCAGCAGCACCTCAGCTGGCTTCAGTCACAGCCACTCCCCAGATCATACCAGTCACCGAAGGGACCTTGATCATGCACGGGCACCCCCTTCCCCTCTTTTCCAGTGAATTGGGACACTGGTGCTCTGAAAGTTGGATGTTAGGAGCACTGGGCAGTAGAGATGCTGGGGACCTTGGGCATTAGACCCCTGAGGGTTGGGGCACTGGGGACTGTGGGTTTTGGAAACTCTGGGTTTTGGGTCCTCTATAAGGTTGGGAACCCTGGTACTCCCAGCACTGGAAAGGCTGGATCTTGAGAACCTAAAATATTTAGAAATCTGAGCATTGACTGTTCTAGAGATTGGGCCTGTCTTCTGTCAGTACCAAAGTCAGCGCTTCTTATCTGTATGCCTGATTTTACCTGGAGCCATGGGATCCAACCTGGATTAGTTTGTGCTGCCCATAGTGGGAGACAGAATGGCCTGAGAGATACCTGGACTCCAGAGACAACTCTTGGAGCTGGTCTAAGTCACTGCTTTGCATTTGGGTCAGGGCAGGGAAGGTGTTAGGCACAGACCACTGGACTCTAAATTCAAGACCGGAAGACTCTGAGAGCAGTTCCTAATAGAATTTCCCACCAGCTGTGGTTGGGACCCCAAGGAGGTCGAGATCACTGGTCAGGCCAAGCTCCAATTCAAAGCAAAGTCCGCCTGCCCCCAACTTCTCAGCAAGGTACTCAGCACCCCTCCACCAAGGTGCCTGGTGCTGCCACTCCTATAAAGCCCTGAGAAATGGCTCAGGTCTGGCATTGTCCCTATTCCCATCAAACACATACTTAAACTGACTCTGAATATGCTAACACAAAGGTCTTGATCCTGCTGGCTGATGACAAATGAGGAACCCAGCCAGCACTGGGGGATCCAATACTGAGCACAGCCCTCCCAGGAAATAGCACTGTAACTGGAGGCTCCTGAGACACGCCTCAGCCCGCTGCCACTGCCCTGGGTGGGGCCCAGCCGGCTGCCTGCCCTCTTGCTGCCCTGCCCAGACATCCCAGCCTGCAGGCTGTAGGCAGGCTGGGACGTCTGACCCCATCTGTCTGTCTGTCCTCCGGTCTCCTGACTGTCCTCTTTTCCCACAGTGGTCCTGGTGACCATGCTCTTCCTTCCCTGTGGGCCAGCTGCCCAGGGTGGGGAGCTCACAGCCAGGCATAAAGGCCATCCTGGTTCTGACCTGGGCTAGGCCCAGACCTGCTTCCCCTGAGACCTTATTCTGATCGGAAAAAAACAGCAGCTTTAGTTCCTGTCTCATGGAGATAGTTTTCCAAATCAGAATCTTTCTCATAAGCCTCTCCTCAGGACTCGCTCAATATGTGGTTGCCTGAAGCTCTTCATGTATCAAGGTGGGTAAAGTGCACACCCATTAATCTCTATATGTAGATATGCTTCATGTTGTGTCACTGTTAGTCTAGCAAAACCTTCCTGGTCAATGTCTCCAACTTCCTCAAATACCCCAATGACAATCTTCTCTTTCCCCCACCCCATAGGCTAAAGTGCTAGGCTACCTCCCTGTCCCTAAGTGAATCCCAAATTCTTAGGGTTAGAACCTCTGAGTACATTTTTCCTTCTCTTTTGCCAACCCCCATGAGCCCTAGCCCCAGGCCTGAAGGCATGGTGGGGGTCTGGCTCTCAGCATCCTGTAATTGCCTCCCTTCATATAGATCCTTAAGTTAGGTGGATAGCTCCACTTTAAGGGAGGTGGGTAGCTCCACTTGCCTGGGCCATGAAAATTCTCAGAACCTTTGCTGAGGGTTCTCAGAACCTCTTTGGTGCCTCCTTCTAGTCTCACCCCACCCTAGTTTACTGCTCGAGGCAGGAAGGTGAAAGAGGGAGGCCTTTTCCCACTCACACCTTTCCTTATTTCGTACTCTACTGGGGGCTTCTTCTGACAGCCTCCACTCCCTGGGAGGGAGCCCTTTTTGACAATTTAGGGAGAAGGCAGGAGGCAGGGAGGAGAGATCAGAAACAATTTGTGGAAGGAGTTAAGTCTTGTCAGAGGAGATGAGAATGGCTTGGATCTGATCTGCCCAGTCCTAGGAGTTGGACACACATAACTACACATACCTGTTGCAGGGCTCGCAGTCACTCTTCCAGAGTGACAAGCACACAGAGGGAGGGGCCATAGATTGGAAGACTGCTCAGGTAAAGAAAGGTATATGTGCACATACGAGCATGCATGGACACACAGAACACCTGCAATTGGCACATAGGAAACCTGGTAGATCTGCTAGTTTTGGGGACAAAGTAAAAGGAACATAAGTGTCTTCTCAGATTTGATCAAGTCTCCAATTTGAATAGGTTGTAAGTCTCATAGGGTTCAGAACAATTTTTATATGGCCTTAGCCCTGGCCCTGGGAAGAGGAGGGGGAACTGTGGATGCCTGAGAAGCTGAAGGAAACTTCTGGGCTAGACACCTGTTATTTTGTTCAGCACCTCTGGTTATAATTTAATAAATTGGAATCTTACTCATCAATTGTTCTTATGTGAGTTTGTTATGTATGCATCAGATTGTTTTTTTTTTTTTAACTGGGGATTGAATTTGGGGGCATTAAACCACTGAGCCACATCCCCAGCCCTATGCTTTAGATTTTTGATTGTCTCCAGAGGAAAAAAATCAGTTTCCTGGCCAGAAAATGGTGAGGACTCCATGCAGATTGGAGTCTTTCTCTCCAGACTAGGGCCTTCTCTGAACAGATGCTCCTCTCAGACTGGGGCAACAAGAGTTCCTCTGACACTAGTAACTAACTGGCCCCTTTCCCTGATAGTTTCTGGCTCTCTCAAGGTAAGCAAATATAGGGGCCCCAGTCCAAACACCTGAGCACCCCTGCCCTGCTTAGAGCCATGCACTTCATGTACACATGTACGCATTTCCTTAGTTTATGAGGCTCAGCAAAGCACCTTTTGGCGGAGGCTCCTTTAACAGGGACTGGAACCCAGGTTTGCTTCTCTAAGGAGGGAGACGGAAGCACAGTTGATGGGTAGTCCCTGTAGCACCACCGCCAGAGCAGGGCTGACCAAACCAGTGTCCAAAGAAAGTTTGTGGAGAAACAGTCCACTGGTTCTAAGTAGGACCCAGGCCTTAACCAGCTGTGCCCATAGTCTCTAGCGGCTTTGCTCCTAAGGGAACAGAGTTTGCTCAGACTTCTCTCTAGGGGAAACGCAGGCGCAGAAGACCAGAGGGGCCTGGCGGGCTAACTGCAGCCCCAGTCCCCCAAAGTGCCCCAGGCCTTTTGGCTTCATTCCAGCCTAACCCGAAGGGGACGACATCGGCTTTCTCCAAGGGCCTCAGCTGGAGGGCAGTGAGGTAGGGGTGGAGAAGGGGGTCTCCATTGCGGAGCCCCACTCCCAGGGGTTCGTGGGGATCAATCATCTGAAAGCTGGAGTGACTTGTAATTTTATTCCCTGGGAGGAGGAGCTTGAGAAGTCGGCAAACGGGAGGGGATGGGACGGGGGAGGGGGGAATGCGGCCAGGGGAGCTGTTCAGGGAGGGGAGGGACTTGGCTAGGTCTCCCAAGCCTTCTCCACTCTCCAAACTTTCACCAAACTCTTAGCCCCCGCCTCCCCGAAACCAAAACACAACAAGCTCTGGAGGAGCCGCGGCGGGGCGGGCGGACTCGCGCCGGCACAGAGCCTCGGGAGGCTGATGCAACTTTCCCTTTAAGAAAGCCACCTGGGCGCACCGCGGTGCGGACCCAGCACGCCTGGGCTGGGGGCTGCAGCATGGTAAGGGGGCTGAGGGGAGGGATGCTGCGGCCCGCACCTCGGTCGGTCCTGCCGGTGGTCTGTGCGGTTGGTGGCTCTGCGGGGCTGAGCCCCGGGACCAGCGTGTGCGTGTGGTGTGTGTGTTGTGTGTGATCGCGCATGCATGCGGGCATCTGTGGGTAAGAGTGTGGTGCACGCACCAGGATGTCTGTCTCGCCGCAAAGGTCGGGGTAGGTGCGCGCGTCTGGGTGTCACCGCTGTCACCTAGGCGCTGAAGCCGGCGGGAAC